GAATTTATTCGACAGTGCACCTTGGCAATTCAGGTTTCTGGGCCACTTTCTGATCTTGTCAGCGTCGCCCGAGGAGTTCCACAAGGACCCGTGCTTGGCCCTCAACTTTTTCTGGTTTTTATAAACGACTCGATGGACATTCCGGGGCCACAAACTTTAATGTTTGCAGACGATGCAAACATATGGAAAACAGTAATAAAACTCGAGAACCCGCTGGCACTTCAGAGAACATTGAATGCTTCCTATCAATGTTCGATCGAATACGACATAGAATTTAATGCATCAGAATGTACAGTCGCATCCCTTCGCCACAAAACTCGGTTTCTGTATTTGTTGGGAGATCAACAACTTACGTATGCCTCCAGTGAGAAGGATCTCCCTTGTCATTGTCCAAGACGACCTAGGTTGTTCTTTAAACTGCTCCAGGGAGTCGTCCACCGCTGTAAGATATGTTGGCTTGNNNNAACCTACGCTGTTTCCACGATTGTTATCAGCCCCCCACATGGAGTATGCAATTCAAGCGTGGAATCCAGGGCAGCAGTGTGATCGGAAGATTCTGGAACATCCACAAAGAATGATCACCAAAATGATCAGGGGACTGCATTCCAAGACTCATGCGGAAAGAATAAAATCACTGCAGTTGTACTGCACACACACAGTCGAATTCAAGGGGACTTGAGTTTGATGTATCAAATAAAGCAGAACAATAATTACTCATGTCGTTCACTCTCTGCCTTGTCGCCCAACACTCACCTCAGGGACACTTATTCAAATTAGCGCTCTAAAAATTTCGACTGGAATGCCAGCGTCATTCATTCGCTCTCAGAGTGAGCACTAATTGGAATTTTCTAGAACTCCAGGTCGTTCACTCAAGCACAAACTGGATAAAGCTTTGACATCAACATCCGTAGTGCACGAAACAAGGATAGATTGTGACATTCCTCAACTTTCTATAAACCGTGAATCGATTCATTTGTGCTAAACCCTATGGGACTAGAAAAGCAACCGCTTGTAAGTATTTCCCATATTCAAAATTTGACTTTGATAACTTCATTGTTCGTAATGTCACATATTTGTGGCTCTCCTCTTCCTCATCCGATTTCTATGGCATATAGAAACAACTCAGCGAAAGCCCGTGCACCGAACGGTATTACCCAGCTTCGATTCTTTCAAAAACCTTCTCCATTTCTTTGTGCAACATGAGTGCCCTTCGATTGATCGAACACTTCTTCCTGAACTCCGTGTGCACAATTATAAAGTACTGAATAAAATTGAAAATCACCGCTGGAATTGTTTCTGAAGGAGACGATAATACTCCCATACTTGTCCACTTGTTCGACTCACCGGGCACGTCAGTGATTCCTCTAAATATATTATCCTGCAATGAAGGTGGCTTTACATAATCACATCAATGCTGGGAATGACAGTCTTACTGGAGCGGGGTTCAGATCGAATTGTGCTCACGAGTGCAAAGGTCGCGTGCTTCAATTCGAATAGCTTCACTCAACCTCCGGTCCTCCTCATTATCTGCACAGCTGTATCCGATTCTTACGCAGCACTTTTCCTGAATAGGGTTATAACTTAATAGTGAATGAATCTGCGAGTTGAGAAGACTACTGTAAATAGGATTCTTTTTAATAACAGTTATGATGCGCTACTTTCGCTGATTGGCGCATCGAAAGAACAGCATAACTCACCGGATGGAGTGTGAGGCTCTGTATTTCGTAGTATTTTTTTCTCTTGGTAAGAGTCGTCAAAACGAAGAACTGGCACAGCTGACCACACCGTCCATGGAAGTGAATCAGAATTAAACTTGTCTGATTCCATAATTAACAAATTATTGCTGATAATTCTTTAGTCCATTACCTGAACATTAGCGATTGCATAATATATTTGTGTGTATCCAATGGGAACAGAACAACTTAATTCATTCATATCATACGGGAATTTATTTTCAAGCTGGGAAATATTCCCCGTGCTCAGATAGGGTAAATGAATTCTGAAGTGAAAAATTAGGATGGGCAGAGCGGAGCAACGGGGTAGGGTGAAGCGAATCTTTCAATTTAGATCTTTTTCGCTTCTGTGAACGATGCATTCATTTATATATTAATTCGCTTCAAATAAGGCGAGTGTTGTCTGTTCTGCTCTGCGTTTCTGTTCATGGGTCTGTGGGTGTGCAAAGCTTATTTCCATTTAGACTGTCTATTATTTTAACTTGATAACTGCCCTCCATTCAGGACAAAAGAAACTATCAATTCGGGATAAATTTTATACAAACATGCGAGCATGCACGTACACACGCCAACGAACAAAAGTGTTGCAATCCGGGGAAACACCCACTCACCCACCCACACACACACAAACACATTCGATTTCATTGTTCCAGGTTTTTATCCGTGCTTTATTGTCTAAATGCATGAACCGTCATCTTCCAGCAGTCGTATAAATCATAACTCCGCCAAATGTGGACTGAAGAAGTCTCATTGGCTGGAGATTTGGACAAACCGGTTTTGCGTCAAATCAGTATAAGAAAACAGGATAATGCGAATAATTCATTGCTGATTTTCAAGCAATTATTAGGAGGTAGGTTATCTTTGACTGATTTGAACTGAAGAATGCAAAAAAAGGAGTTATTCAGTTTGCCGGAAAAAGATGTACTTAACTATCCGTTGATATGGTAATCCGATATTTGCAAGAAACCAACCAGGCTACTCACGAGTAGGCAAAATTTATTTGACGAAAAGCATAGAGATGAAAAAACGAGGCCAGCGATTACATAGAAGCCAGTTTCTTTGGGACGTAAATATGTACCCCATGTTACGCAGATTTATTGTGCTAAAATTAGTTGCGTAATTTGAAGCTATGAAATGACGTAACTCAGGGTGTATTTTTTAGAGTTTTCTGATGACCTCTAAGAAGAGCGCATTTTTAAACAATCAAATTCTCTACGGCCGTTTCAGGAATGCCATGATCTGGACAACACGAAAGCTAATTCACTGATATGATTTGGACCAATCATATTATTTGTACACAGCCTAATTCCTTTGAATTCTTCTAATGAGTTAACCGATACTTTCACGGAATTCCTCCTACATATCTACATAGAAAATTTCTGGCTGCTGATTATAAGAGCGAATATTTCGAGTATCAAATTGATAAAAACATAAACGCTATCGTGTCTATCGGCCATTGGATTGGGACGCCTAGGAGAAGAAGATAACTTGAAGATAGCGTCAATAAGCTTTACATTGCCAATACCGTTACTTTGTTCACTGACAGGGTTGCCCTCTCGCTCTCCCGGTCTATTTAATTTCGTTATGCAAACAACCCTTTCCGCGTGCGAAGATAGTGGCATCGATTTTTTTGCCCAGGCGACTAACCGTCTGATCTTGAGTATGCCGCGGACCTTGTATTGCTAAGTGAAGATCCAGGTAAGTTGTAAGCGTATCCGAATTTTTCGAGTTCTAGTGTGGGATGAATTTTGCACTTTCAAAAGTATAAGAATGATGCTAAAAGACCGGGTTGCTCTGGCTCCGAACCTCAACCGGGCAGCTACATCATCTCACCCAGCGGACGCGTCACTGATGAAGTTACAGCACACACAGACAGAATATCTGATTAGCATTTGACAACTTGAGACATCTGTGGTGCGGTCACGAGACCCGGTTGTCTGTTAAGGATCGAGTATACGCTTCAGCCAGTTCTGCTATACGCGCCGTAGAGACTTGGCCATTAAGGGAACAGGATAAAGATAGACTGTTGGCGTTCGAACACCACTGTGTTTGTCTCATTGCAGGAGTCCGATGAGGAAGGCGGACAACTAATGCTTAGGTTAGACGCAGAGTTTTCGGTATTCGCGGTCGTCCACCGGAGCAAGTGGCCGACCCCGGTAAACTGCGTTAGTGAAGGCNGCATGTGTTGCGCATGTCATTAAATAGATTGCCACGGTGTGTGCTGTTTTCCGAGGCAGGTATTGGGTGGACAGTCCAAATAAAACCTGGTATGAGGATATAGAAACCCTTATAGGGACACTTGCTCACATAGGTCACGTTAGGCTTCCTGAATGGGGAGACGGGAGTTAGAGACACTGTGTCGTAAACAGTGGCCCTCGTACATGTCAATTTCTTTGCAACCTTAATATACTGGAATTCGTTACTTTTCTCTTCGATTCTACCTTCAATTTTCGCAATTCTTCCTCTTCCTTCATCCAAATGAAACAGCAACCAAAATCGCCGCACGAAAGTGAATGGTTAACGGTTGAATAAACGGAAAGTGTTCAGCAATCCCTCCCCTCCACACCCAATGAAAAAAAGGAAAACTAATTTCCTGGAAAATCATGCGAGCAATTTCGGAATTTTTTAATCTACCCAAATCTAGTTGCATGAATTTAGGTTATTTATGTTAGGCAGGTGTGTACTTTGTAATTCGACAGCTCATGCGTTTAGATTTTCCTGTATTTGATGCCCACAAAAGTGAGGGTTCCCCGGTGTGCAATTGGAATGTGATACTCGGGGAGGTTACCCGACACGATTGCCAATTGTGCTCATCTTGCAAGACGGAAGGTAAGCAAATGGAGTGATTGATTGATTCAAAACTACGGGTGATGATTAACGACATTCAGAGGGTAGGAGACAACAGAATGGTTTATTTTAGGACTCCGAGTCAAAACTTCCAAGTTTATTGGGTTCTCTTCAGCGGTTATGATCTCATAACTTTATCTGGCTTATATCGACACTGTGCGATCGATCCAGTTTTCTCTACTCCTTGAAAGATTCTTTCGGATTGTGCGGAGGGACGTAGACCAGGGAGTCCGGATCAGATACATCGTGTCACCATTTAACACACAATTGAAGTTATTTTCCGGCACAACGTTCTCTCTCTCGTTATGCGCATCACGCTACAAAGACACTCCCATGGTCCTCCTTGATCATCTGCTCTCAATTCAGCCGAACAATTTGTGACATCAGCTTTTCCGGATAGTGGTGTAAAGGAGATTTTGATATTTTTTTTGCCACAAGATACAATAAGGTGCATGAGAGCTGACGGTGCGACGAACAGCGTATAGCAAGATCTCAGTAAGCAGGATAAATTTTGTCACAACAACCACATCCTAGCTGAATTTTTTTATTAGTGTGATGAACAGCACACGGGTTGAACCCCATAGTCACGAGGAAAAACTGCTACAGGATGGAAACTGGCAACCAAAGATTAGGGACTTAGAGTGCCAAATCAAATAAGATCCCGTCAGATAAGGCGTGTTATGGAATCGGACAGCAAAGCCAAAGGTGGATGGCGGTGGTGTGGCTCGAACCTCGAATCACAGGGTTCAAAGGACGCCGATGACAGTGACTAAATCACTGCGCCATCACCGGCCCGGACGACTGATTTTCGTTCAGTTTATGACCTAGATTTTCAAATTTTGGTTAAATTTAGAGCTGAAAACTTTATCCTGTGCACTGCATTCTATTCGAAATGGAGCACTGAAGCCTGATTAAACTTGCAAATATATCACAAACCGTGAATTATTGGCTTTTTTACCCAAAACACGAAATATTCACCACCAGAACATTAACTCTTTACTCGTGAATGAATAGCATACTCGTTGTGCTCTCTCTGTTCGTGGTTTTGAGTGTGAAACAATGATGTCCTAGTAGCAATAACCTAATAATGATGATTGATCAACCATCATTTCCCTACTACTGAATCAAATCTCTTCTAGATACCGAGTCAGTTACGGTGACTCCGGCTACGGAATACTGGGTGTGGAAGTCCCCAGTTCGGTGATTGATCAATCCGCCAGCTTCGTGGCCTGTTGTCTTCGGAGAGCCGGAAGTCAACAACCCATACTGCTTGTGAGTTTATGCGAATCGACAGTGGATCGGAAAAAACACGCACAAGTTGTGTTGGAATTAGCCGATCACATTCAAGCTAGTCTTCGTTGATTCCGCAAGACCCGGATGGAGGACAACACACCGCACCGGAACGTGAATTGTAAACTACTTGGATTCAAACTGTGCCAATGGAATAATTTACTCATTCATTCTTATCTATCGTCTAACAGAAACGTGAATATTATATTTTACTTGTGTGCGATAAAACTGCCATTGTCTTCCCCTGTTCACGACGAAATAGTCACGGGTTGGAACAGCTTTACCACCCCACAGAAAAAGGATAGTTTGGCATGCCGTCCTGCATTCACTAACATAACATAACGCACTACGAGAAACCGTAATGCTTTGGCTGGATAGAGTAAGAGGACGAACTATCTCAAACTGACTGTGTTTAACTCCTTCCGGACTAAAAGCGGTCGAGCACGTGCAACAGACAGAGAGAGAGATGCGAGTTGACGGTAGGCTTGGGTGGTACGCAATCGTGACAGAGAGAGATTTACAACAGACGCAAAGTGGACATGAAGCATCAGGCCGAATTGAATCACAACGACAAACCCAAGGAGATGAGTGGGGAGGGTAAAGCATCATATAAAATACTTAACTGGCTACAAATGATCCTAACGAGCGACTCATTACGACACAAACAGACCCTGGAAAGACAAAATCGGAAAGATAAATCTGATTACAAAAGATAAAAATAAATCTATTCAGAAATTACAGTCGACAGTAACAAGCATGAAATTGGGCGTACAGGTGTTGATCATACTGGCATATCATGACTCTCATTTTGAAAATACATTTCCGTTTCCAACAATATCATACACGCATATGGATAGCTACGGATGAAGAGTATTCAATCCGAACTTAATCTCCCACTGTGATGTTCTTATTTTTCGCGTATCACCGTTTGAATTTGCGTGATCATGAGCGTCGCGATAAAATTCATAATGTTTCCGAAGTTACAACGCCAAATTGAAAAATGCTTCATGCAAACTAGCATGCAAGTTCATTCTATATTAATTCCAACAAATGATTGCTGTTCCCAGTCTAGACACGTATTCTAAATAGCATATCTCTTTTGGATCAGTGCAAGGGTAAATCAGCTGATTAATGAAACTTTTCTAGCTTAAATTGACTGATAAATTATATGACCATAAACTACTCACGTATCATCCATAATCCTGAAAGAACTAAGGATATAGCCCAAGAAACACAAAAGTTGACCTTGAGGTGCGCGGCTCGTTGAATAAGCGTTTTGTAGTGCCATCATGCCCAAACCGTATGGAACATTCAAAAACTTTTGAAGCCAAAAGAATGAGGCACTGGGAGGAATAACTGCGATGTAAGGCAGGATGTTGCACGAGTTTGATTGAAACCTTTATATTATAAGACCCTTAGAGGTCGATAGAAAGAATTATTAAGAAAAATATTAAATAAGAGTGAGAACCCTGTCTAAATACCAGGATTGAGATAAAGGGAAACGAAAATCTCCGTACATTCACCGGAATTCAGTTCACTTCAATCAGCGATAAACTTGATGGTTGACTGCAGGGCGTTAGCACAAGCATTGGAGTGGTATGCATCACCTAACACCATGCGGAAAACCCGACGGGGTTCGGCGGTAAATCTGACCAAGCTGTCTCCCGCAACGTGATCCACTTGGCGACATGACACAGGCAGACTCAATGGTTCGGCAGCATTACTTTCTCCACACACACACACACATACACACACACATATATTATATATATATATGTGCTGTGAAAACGATCCAAACTAGAGAAGGAATGTGGTCGACCAGTTTCTTCATGTAAGGGATGTAAACTTGCGGTTTTGGCATGCTCCAACGTTCAATGGAAGCACACTGTAGAAATAAGACTTACGACAATGAAACTGGCAGAAGAGCTTGCACCATACTGTCATTTTGTTTTCCGTGATTGACAGTATAGTTGAATGTAACGTGTACAGATCCTCCGAGAGAAAACACATTCGGTGAAGTCGGGTAATCGGATTTGGCGCCAAATAGCAAAGCTCAACTTTAATATAGTCTACCAAGTGTTATCACGGTCCTCGACTACCGCGAGTGCTATGAGTGACCATAGATTCTAAAGATAATCCCTCGAATGAATTTCACTCCTATTCTTGACATATGCACATGAACGAAAACAGATTCAATGCTTCGTTAAGCTTTATTTTGCTCTCCAACTTTGCCTAGATTGTTTCTCACCGTCCGTAGTCGAGCCCAGTCAAAACACCTTTGCTGATCGAATAAACATAGCCACTCGGACGTAACGCTGTGCTGATTAGCAAACGCCCTTGCACCAAGGCTGAAACCACGGGATACATTGCAGTTTCCGCCTGTCCGCGTGTGGGGACAGAAAGATCTCGATCAACCAGCAAACTGATTGAGTGGTATTTGGCTGCCCGTCTTCAGCCTTACCTACCGTATAGAATGTAATGCATGATACAGTCCTACCGTAAAAATCGTTCGGGTAAATAGACCCGAGTAGTGTTAGTCTCCTGAATGTGCTTCAGTAGCACATCGAACTGAAAACCGAAGATACCGCCGGTACCGGCTACCCTCTCTATTTCTCTACATGCCCAAGCAGACTTTTCTTAGTTATTTCTTTTTCCGAAAAAAAGTAAATGCATACTTACTATCTAAAACAAGAATAGGTGAAACACAGTACTGATATCAGTTTTCAGTTTGTATAACCGTTAACCATGCACTTTCGAGCGCCGGTTGCTGTCCAATTGGATGAAGAATAGAAGAAGGACAGAAAAGTTGAAAGTAGATCCAAACAGAAAGTGGCGAATTTCAGTCGTCTAAGGTTGCTAAGAAGTTGAGATGCACGAACGCCACTGTTGACGACACTCAGTCATACCACTCAATTTCTCGAACTATCGGTTACGATCATTTCGGTCCCCAGCCAGAAAGCCTAACAAGACCCATGTGATCCAGTCCCCTAGTCAGGGTTTTCATACCCTCATGCCAGGTATTGGCTTGACCATCCTTGGCTTTTTCCACCAACTACCTGCCTCGGCAAACATCGCTTGCCATAGGAACCTATTTGGTAACATGTGTAACACATGCTCGAGCTAACATAATCTGACGGTCGACTACTTGCTCCAATGGACGATCGCGGTTACCCAAAACTGTGCGCCTAATCTTAGCATCGCTATGATTTCCCAAGTTTCTGTACCGCATAGCAGAACTGACCGAACGACCGCGGCATACACTTGACCCTTCACAGACAACCGGATGTCGCGACAACGCCACAGATCTCTCAAGTTGGTAAATGCCAACCGAGCCTTCTGTATGTGAGCTGACACTTCATCCGTGATGCGTCCACCGGGTGAGATGTAGCTGCCCAAGTAAAAAAACCATTCACTTGTTCTATGACTTCTCCGGTTAGAGTGAGGTTGGGTGCTGGGCCAACCCAATCCTGTAGTAACATTTTACATTTTGAAGGTGAAAAAAACCTACTGAACATGGCTACGCTAGCACTCAAGCTACCCAGAAAATCTTGCAACTTACCTGGATCTTCACTTATCAGCACAATACGGTCTGGATACTCCAGATCAGACAATCTGCCACTTGAAAGTAAATCGATACCACTATCCTCGCACGAGGATAGGGTTGTTTCCATAATCAAATCAAAGTTAAATAGAAAAGGAGAGAGAGGGCAACCCAGACAAACACCACATTCCGATGAGAACGAGAGCGAAAAAGTGCCGT